ATTTCCTAACAACACTTAAAAGACTGTTCCTTATAGATTGTTCAACTATCTTTTCTATTCATTGTCTATTTAAATATTTTGATGGTTAGATCTTCTTGGGAATCCAATAACCATATTGTCCCCTGGTCCAGAAATGACATTATAAGAGGACTGAGATAGATGGAAGAGCCTGGAGCATACATACCCCAGAACACCATATTGGCTTTAGGAGCACTCAATCCTAAAATGTATCAAGAAGAGTTTTGTTTCTCTGGGGATGGTAGAGAAAGGCATTGTGAAGAAATAAAAATAAAAATAAACATTTATTGGGAGGTACTTGCCAGGCTCAGAGCTTCACATAGACTATCCCAGTTAATTCTACTACACTACCACCAGACACTGAGGCTCAGAGTCATTTTCCCCTGAAGCACTGGGGATTGAAATCCAGCCCACGTGGCATCTGAGGCCACACTTTTAACCACCACTTTTATGAGAAATAACAAAATCTAGGGGTTTTGTTTGATTTTTATCTAAAATTCTTGGCTGTGTGAATAAATTTTAACTTGTTGTTCTTGAGACTGAATTTAGTAGGTACACAAAAGCTTTTTATTAAAAGAGATGAAAGCCTGTATAAGTTTCCTTAGTCCTATACTTACAGAACCTGAAACACCAGTCATACTCACCAGGCTTAGAATCACAAAGTACAGTCTTCTGATCAACAGTGAAATATATATATTTTTAATCCTCACTGGGGGATATGTTTTTTGTTTTTTTTTTACTGATTTGAGAGAGATATCAATGATTAATGGGAAAGAAAAACATTGATTAGTTGCCTCCGGAATGCACCCTGACCAGGGATTGAACCTACAACATTTTGGTATATGGGACAATACTTCAACCAACTGAGCAACCTAGCCAGGGCTGAAATATTTTTATATATGGGGAAATTACAATACTTTACTACAGAGACTAGTGATTCCTATTTTCCTCACTACAAAACTATAGACAAAGTATATTTATTTTTAGGAAACAAAGACCCTGTCCATCTCAGGTAGTTTACAGCAGAACAGGGATTGGAACTCATGTCCTCTGCTTCTTATTCCAGTGTGTTTTCTATTACATAAGAAAAGTAAACAGTAAAGTAGATGCTGGGTAATATGCTAAGGGAGATAATAGAGACTCAGTCTTTGTAAGAAGCTTCATTTTATTTTCCCAAAGCCTTGGATAACTTGGCAAGGTGTTATGGTACTACAGAGCCTTTTAGAAATTTCTAATCCCCATATAATAAAGTACCTAGAGGTCAGATCTGTAAACTGCTGTGGAAGTTTCTAGCATGTGTAGAAAGAAGCAAGGTCAATATTAGAACAGTTCAGGTCTAGAAGTGGGTTTCTCATGACTAAGCAGGACATACATTTACAAGAGATTCTGAGTAGCCATGAAAGTTAGAAAAATTGTAACCTGCTAATTACCTGCTGCTCAGAGAAATGGGCTTCACACAATGACTTCATCCAAATTGCTAAAAAAATTAAAATATTAGTCCAAAAATGTAAATAATGTAGAAATGGAGTCTGCCTTTGCTCTTTCAATACATTTATGATAATAACTCAATGTTTTAGTTAAAATAATCAAACTAGGCAATGATTACTTAGTATTTTTAGGGTAAGAGTAATGTGGCAACCTGGAAAAAGTGGAACTGAATGACAGCAATGTAGAAACTTAGAAATGGTCAGGAAAAAAACAAACAGAAGAAATCATTGGCTGAGAGACCTAAGACTAAAATATATAATCAAGCCAGTTTCTGAGGAATCTACTTATTCTGTATTTGCAATAAATGTTTTATGGCAACAAATCTAGTGCTTCAGTTTGGGAAGAGTTAAAAACATATGGAATTAGCTAAATTTGTTTACTTTAAAAAATACCTGTATTTCTTCCCCAAATTTGAGTTTTTTTTGTATTTTTCACATTATGATGTGAAACATTTATTGAACAAATACCAATTTAAGCTAAAATGGTATTAGGTGTTGATGATCTACCTATTTTTAGCCTAAGGACTAGATAATTTTCTGAATTCACATTTTCATCATTTTAATGAAATTGAGGTAATATACTGAAATAGGTATTGAGGTATTTTTAAATTGAGGTTTCTACTCTAGATTTTTCACATATGCTGTCATATATTTTCCCCTAAATCAGATATATTATAAACATGCAGATATATTAATGCTTTTACTACTAACAATATACTACAAGTTTAAAAAGTAATTTTTTATGTTTCTTGTCCTTTAAAAAGTTGTCTAACACTAGCAACAGTATAATAGAACAGGGCTTGTCTAAATTTATATACTTCTGTTACTTTCCTTGACCACAAAACTTCTTAAGACTTCCAAAATGTCTAACACACTGCTTAAGAAAAACTTAGAGATGGAAAAAAGTTTTACATAATTTTGTCTCTCACAAATAATACAACAAACTTTTAATAAATTCCATCTTTGAAGGAAATTTGTCAGTCACAAGAAAATTTGTTGGAAATTAACAGGATTTTTGTTTGTATGGAAGTTACTTTCAGATGGCCAACAAGTGTCGCTAGATATATTGTGGGCTATACAAAGCCTTTATCATCTGCTGATGAGTGATGTTAGACTTTCATTAAAGACAGCCTTTATTCACGTTAGACCCAACAAATCATCAATATCTTTTCATAAGGGTGTGGACCACATTCATACATTCTTAAGCATTTTACATTACCTTACACATCACAATTATGTTGCAAATGTCTAATGTAACTAATATGTGCCATTAAAGTTATTTATCTATGGTCACCATTCCTGGGTCAAGCCATTCCCTGTTGAAACCTTGGTTCAAATATTCCTTTGGAAATGACCACATTCTCAAGTTACAAATGTAAGTAAATTTTTGCACTAGATTTGTCAGTGCTCATAATTTTACCACAGGTGTTTAAGTATTATAAATGATCCCATTTTTAGTGAATGAATTGATTTAGGTTGGGGTTTTCCAAAGTTTGGAATAAAAGACTAGCCCTGAAGGATGTATTTCAATAAAAGGTGAAATTCATTTATGGACTGACACACATTTTAGTCCTTTGTTGGAGACTCTGTGCATCTTAGAACACCAAAGACTCTGATAGGTCCAGAAAGTAGAGAAACACATTTCAATTTTTACACCCAATGTTTTCCAAATTTACCTGACCGTGGGGATGGGCATTGTTGTCACCATATTCTACATATATATGAATAATTATTAAGAGATAACTTTCTCCAAATTAAAGATCTATTATATTTCTACATAAGATGTTAAATATTAATTTTGTTTTAATACACTGTATGAAGTTTTCTAACACTTGAAATTATTTTGGGATGATCTTTTTAAAGATTTCCAGTCATTTAATTGAATAAAATTACATATGCATGTATTTTTTCAATCTCACAAATTATTTGATAAAATAGGGAGATACCAAACTACCCTCTTTGGCCTCACTTTTATCAATCACTGGGAAAAAAATCAAAAATTCAAATTTGAGCTTTCATATAATAATTTTACTTTATAAAAACAGTAACAAAATTTTAAAAATACATGCATTAATGTTCCTACTACATGATAGGACTTGTATGCAAAGTGTTTTCTTTCTTTAAAGGAAAAAATATTCTAATTTCTTTATATATAAACATCTTAAAAATGGTGTGAATGTCAATAAGACTAGGACATGCTTCTTGTATGTTTTAACAAAATTAAAACTATACATTCCTCCCAAAATGAACTTCACAGTTGAGATGCTGACATAATTCTATTCAGATTTGTAATACTGTGGTAATCAATGCCGCCAGGATATAAAAATATCATTTCTAAAGTTTAGAAAAGAGTGCCTTCCAGCTAATAAATTAACACCAATTTTGTTTATTCAGCCTGACTTTAATAGCAGGTAAAGCCATCCCCATAGTGCTATTGCTGTCTGTCCAGCAGAAGAAAGTTACTGTGAAAATATATTTCCTCACACTGAATGCTTAATTGAGGGCCAATCTTTTAATATTAAAAACTGTATGTATATGGAAAAGGAAATAACCATTTGATGACATACTGTAGCTTTTTTATGTTCAACATTTTTATTATAGTAACATAGCTGGGTAACTGAAATAACTTCACCATACAAATATTACATGCTGAAACATGACAATGTCATACTAATTGCACACTGTGTTGACATTTTAAGCATATTTTCTGCAACAACATTTGCACTTATATACAGGTAGTAAAGCACAGGAGGATAATTTGAGTCATGATTCATGGAAGCAAACATTGCTTTCAAGTTAATCTTCAAACCCAGGATCTTCAGCAAATCTATTAATGTCTGATGCTGTAGCAAATACAGTACTTACTGACCAGCTCAAGACCAAGTGTCATTGTTAACCTTTGAAAGAGAGATATCAGCATTATCTGATTATTTTTGTAAGGTAATTCTTCTAATTTAGAAAATATTGAATGATGACTATACCAATTGTTCACTGGGAGGGAAAATAAAAGGTGTATGTAGCAATTCTTAGATAATATAGCCCAGTTTATGCGGAATGTGTTACCTGAATAGTCTTCCTTCAAATCACCAAATTACTTAGGACAATGAAAAAAAAAAAGAAAAAAAATACACACACAAAAAGGGCAGCAATCTCAAAATGTGAAATAAGTTTTAATATACCAATTTTTGTTTTCAAGACTGTTATTTGTAGCCAGGTATCTTGGTTCACATGGATCAATTAATGATTTTTAGGCATTGAGACTTCAACCTGATTCCTAAAAATATCAGCAAACTGAACTAGATACAATGACATTATCTTTTATTGTAGCTCAGGCAAAAACAAGGCAGGGTTTCTCTTTTCTTTGTCCATGCGAAGGTCAAAACTTCAAAGAGAAGTTGAAGTTTAAAAGATGGATGGATGGAAGTAAGGAAGGGAAGGAGGGAGGGAGGGAGGGAGGAGTAAGGAATAAAATTTTGATCATTAATATATTCCTAAAATTTTAATTCACTTGAAACTAATATTAGCCAAAATATTTAGATAACTAATTCAGTTTTTGAAAACTTAAATCTCTTAATCTAAAGGGGAAAGCAAATTTTCAATAATTATCAAGTCACAGAAACACTTTAATTGTAGTTATAATTTTTATTGTTTAACACTCATAATCAAATTAACTAAGACTCAAAATATAAATCAGCATTAGAGGACAGAAGAGTATTTTCTGTCATTCTTCTTGAGGTATCTGCTCTTATTCTTTAAAAAATGTACACTTAAGAATAAACCAATGCTTTACAGAAATAATAGCATTTATGCAACTATTAATTTTTTGGTATTTTGAAAAGGTCAAGTAAGGTATACGTTTAAAGAGAATTTTTAAACAGAATGGCTTTGACAGGCTAAAGAAAAAAGTATTTGTATTAATTTATATGAAAGCATCTGAAATTTCCAGTTAGATAACCAAATTCTATAATCATATACGTTCCAAGGTAAAAAGAGAATTAGGATGAAATATTTTTCTTGATGTCTAGAAACTATTGTGATCTAGCTGTAAAGAAGGTTGGAATTTTTTCTTTGAGTTTGGTTCATTTTAGTTTTAGGGAAAAGGAATTAGTAGAAACATTTTGTGTATTTAGACCTACAAAAAATGTGTATAGATCTTTGCATCTTATAGATAACCGGAGATATTCAACTATGTTCCAGCAGGTTACTGTCACCATTTCTATATCTGATTCTAACTTTATTGTATGCAAGCAAGATAAATAAATGCTACTAAAATAAAATCCAGTAAAACTAATCATACTGAGAATCACAGTATTTCCTTCAACAGATTACAAATGGCAACTAATCTACAATGTTGTATTATTAAAGTGAAACTAATCTGCATCACAAACTGTGTTCATAGATGATTTAAAGGAAAAAGATTGCTTTTTGTACAATTCTGGAAATCACTCTAATCATATACATTTCTGGGAAGCATTCCAATCTTAGATTTACAGAAATATCAGCGATACTTTCTTAATAACAGAATAAAAATATACTTTCATCATAAGTAAACCAAATTCCCTATTTAAAACTCCTGGTAAAAATGAATAGCTTTGGATTTTTCAGATAAAGCTATTCTCTCTCTCAGGAGAGAGAGTCTGACCCATACTATCATTTATACTAGTATGCTTTAACCCCGTTAATTAAAAAAATTATAATAGAAACTAAGAATTATATTATGCCTCTAAAACATTTCTATGGCCTCTAGAGACTTCCACAGTTTATTACTGTATCTTCTCCTCTTAGTGTCTCATCAGGGGATAAGCACTACAGCAACCACAGACCATGCATACCAGGCAGTGTACATCAATATAATTAGTACATGGCTTTTCACAACTATCATATCAAACGAGATCAGAATAAATAGGCAAACGTGGGCAATGAAATTCTAGTGCTTAAAAAAAAAAAAAGGCAGACTTAAGTAGCTAGGGAAATGAAATTTTTTCATCAGTTATTTGGATAGTTCATATATTTAAATTTACTTTTGGTTTTTAAAATTCTTTGAGTATATGTGTGTATGTGTATGTGCATGTGTTTGAGTTTGCATGTGTTTTCCTAGGGGGAGAGGGTGCATCCCCAAGTTGGACATTCTTCTTATTCTTGTCTTACATAAAAAATTCACTCTTGTACAACTAAGGACAGAAGTTCAAAAGCACCGACTCTAGCAAATTAAATAACCATTTTTTATTTAAATTAATGTAAGTTAGCAAACAACAAAATACGTTGATATCATATACCAGACACTTGAAATCGTGTCTCATTCATGGGCAAAGTGTGAATTTAAAAGAAAAATGACTAAAAATACTCCTTAAAAAGGCCTACTTGCTGATCATTCTTGTAATGATTTTGTAATATCCCCATTGTTGCATTATTTTTTCTAAGAAATCTATAACACATGCTTAAGAATTTACAAAATGGAGTCATAAACATTCAGAATTACACAGTAATTTCCTTCATCTTGACATCCTTATTCTCCTTTTTTCACAAAGACAGTAACAAATTCTTCTTTGGGATACATCTAGCAAGAAAAAGTACCTACTGGAATATGGATGTTAAGTAGTCATAAACAACCAAGTAACTAGCAATAATTTAGAGAACAACCTATTCTAGTCTAACACAGTCTCAACATATGGCTTTAAAAACAAAGTACATCTAACTTACAACTGTGGGTTGCCAATTATCCAGCTTGTGAATTAAACCAGGAGAGTTTGCTCCCCTCAGTTCTTCTTCTTGGGGCCATTTCTTGATTTACTGGAAATAGCTTTTAGGATAATAAAAGGAGGTAAAACATTCATAAATTTTGCAAATAATTAGCATCTGTGAGAAAATAAAACATGGTAGAGAAGTTGAAACAAACTTGTAAAAAGTAAATATTGCAATTTCTAAGGACTCCCATGTTAATGATAGTGTTTATATTTCCATAGAAAACTGGAAGCTCATTCATTGTTTTGAAACTCTCTGCAAGAAATGGAAGTAAACTGCTAAGAAACGTATGCATGTTAACTTTGAACAAGAAGAAACTTCACAGTTTTTTTTAAAAAATTCTTAAGGGTACACCCTAACTAATAATATCCAGTAATCAGAATCTTCTACTTGCAGTATTTGAGATTATTTTCAATGGTGTAATGTGTAACTGTATTAGACTTTGCAGTGTGACTTGGTCTCAACATTGAAAGACATAACATAAGTGTGACACATTATCATGTAACACCGATATGAGTTTGAAAGGTTAACACTTCTACTTCTGAAGAATAGAAAAAATTGTATTTGACTGTATCCATCCATTGGAGATACTCTTTCCAAATAAAAATTAGTGGTATAAGATGCAAAAATCATAAGTAGACTTTGTCATTACCATCATTTTCTTTTCCTTTTTGTGACTCCTGATGAAAAGTAAAAATAAAAGCAAATTTATGTTTTCTTTATTTTTAACCCACTGGATTGTCTTCTGCTTTAGATTGGAATAGGATCTCATAGATCCTTCCTGAAAATTTACATTAACATAAGTAGCTAAATTTTCACATAGGGGAATAAAAATGTTGAAGAATTAGGTTGAGATTTTTGTAGTACTTTACAGCATACTATAGTAATGATAAACCCGTTTTACACTTAATCCTATCATCAAAGCAACACCAGGCTTCTAATTTTTCTTCATTTTATATGTCTACTATATACATAAGAGAATAAGGTTTTATACTATTAATGCTTTTTTAAGTCAAAAGATGTGTCATCTAGAAAATAATTTAACACAGTAATGGGATCTTCAAGATCAATTGTTTCATATACTCTGCAGCAAAAATAACATTTCTAGTAGGAAGGTATTTATAAACCTGGCAAATTCTAGGCATTCACATATTTGTAAACAATATTAACATGGTTTATTACATTTCCAGAAAGGTTAAATCTTATATCCAAGTTTTCTGCTAATTCTTCTTTTATGTATTATAATAAATATACATGTTATTTGAGGAAATGTGTGTCTATATTTCACACATATATATGTCATATATACATAAAACAGCACTTAATGGTTGCTTTCTTTGCATGTTTAAATTAAGGGGAAAATGAATTGCTCTTTTGCATAACCCATGGCGATCTTCCCTTTTACTTCACAAATGGCCATATCGGGATGTAAACAAAACATTGGAGCGAGTCATTCCAGGTGAACTGTATTTCAAGTTGTAGGTTGGTGTTCTCATGAAGAATTGTGTACTGCCCGGAAGTAAATACCTAAAAATAATAGTTAAAAATTAGACCTTTACAAGAAAATTAGTATTAACATCTCTCAGTAAAGCATTATATGCCCAGAAATGTAAATATCCTACATGAGAAAATAAAAACAAATGTAATCCACATAAAAAGATTTCTTCTCCCAGACCGAGAAGGGGAAAATGGGAAGAAGGTCATAAAGCCTCACTCAAAAGGCTTAATGTAGAAGCAATATATGATCTTAGTATGGCAAGAGATCCATAAAGAACAATTGTATTTACATGCTAAGAACCTGTTTATGTGGCTCACGTTAATTTTTTTATCCTCAGCTGAGGGCATTTCTCATTGCTTTTAGAGAGAGAGGAAGGGAGAGACAGACAGACAGACAGAAATAGACTGGTTGCCTTCTCATATACATCCTGACCAGGGATGGAAACCACATCCTGGGTATGAGCCCTGACCGCAATCAAACCTGTATCTTTTTGGTCTACAGGAAGACACTCCAACCAAACAAGCCACGCCGTCCAGAGCATGGCTCATGTTAATTTGGAATTCATCATTAGTTTTTTAAAATAATGTGTAGAGGTAGTCAAATATTTCTTTCTTCTTTTTTTTAAATTCTCACTTGAGGATGTGTTTAGAGAAGGGGGGGAGAGTAAGAGGGAAAGAAAAATTGATGTGAGAGAAACATCAATCAGTTGCCTCTCACAAGTGCCTGCCCAGTAATCAAAGCTGCAACCCTGACCAGAAATCAAACCTGCGACCTTTAAGTTTAAGGGACAACACTCTAACCAACTGAACCACTACACCAGCCAGGGTAACCAGTCAAACAGTTCTCAAAGACATGAGAATCTGGCTAGCCACGTTACTAATAATTATTTGGCTCAAGGACGTTGGAACCATTAATTGTAATTTAATAATATTTCACTGATGTATTACAACTATAGGTAATCTATGTTCTAGATTGTTGATTTGATTCTCAGCTTCATCTCCTCTACTGCTGGTTCCCTGTAGATTTTTCTTTATTTCACCTAGTAGAACCTTCATTTCTGCCTGGGTCTTTTTTATGCTGTTGAAGTACCCAATGAGTTCCTTGAGCATCCTGATAACCAGTGTTTTGAACTCTGCATATGATAGGTTGCTCATCTCCATTTCATTTAATTCTTTTTCTGAAGTTTTGTTCTGTTCTTTCATTGGGGCCATATTTTTTGGTCTCCTCCTTTTGGCCATGAGGAAGAAAAAAGCATTCAATCCAAACAGCAAGAAGAAAAAAGAATTTTAGAAAAAAAGGATAGGCTAAAGAGCCTCTGGGACAACTTAGAACGTACCAACACTTGAATTATAGGGGTGCCAGAAGGAGAAGAGAAAGAGAGAAATTGAAAACTTACTTGAAAAAATAATGAAAGAAAAGTCCTCTAATTTTTCTGTGAAGAAAATAGACATACGAGTCCAGGAAGCACAGAGAATCCCGAAGAGTTGAACCCAAAGAAGACCACACCAAGCACATCATAATTAAAATGTCAAAGGTTAAGGAAAAAGAGAGAATCTTAAAAGCAGCAAGAGAAAAGCAGAGAGTCACCTACAAAGGAGTTCCCAAAAAACTGTCAGCTGATTTCTCAAAAGAAACTTTGCAGGTTAGAAGAGACTGGCAAGAGGCATTAAAGTGATGAAAAGCAAGGACCTACAACCTAGATTACTCTACCCAGCAAAGCTATCATTTAGAATTGAAGGGCAGTTAAAGTGCTTCCCAAACAAGGTAAAACTAAAGGAGTTCATCATCACTAAGCCATTATATGAAATGTTAAAGCGAATTATATAATAAAAAGAAGATCAAAACTATGAACATTAAAATGGCAATAAAAACAGCTACCAACAATTGAATCTAAAAAACAAACTAAGGAAAGAAGCAGAATAGGAAGAGAATCATAGATATCGAGATCATTTGGAGTGTTATCAGTTGTGAGGGAGAAGGGGGAGAATGGGGGGAAAGTTGCAGGGATTAAGAAATACAAATTGGTAAGTACAAAATAGACAGGGGGGTGTAAAGAACAGTATAGGAAATGGAGAAGCCAAAGAACTTACATGCGTGACCCATGGACAGGAACGAGGGAGTGGGGGACGGATGCAGCAGGAATGCGTGAGGGAGTGGGGGGTGCTGGGTGGAGGGGATCAAAGAGGGAAAAATCAGGACAACTGTAATAGCATCATCAATAAAGTACATTGAAAATAACACTACTATAGGTAATCTGAAAGAAACATTTAAAGAGTAACATTCATAACTACATTATAAATCTTGTATTCTTAACAACACAGTGCTTATGATTACAAAATAGCAAAAGCAACCACGATTACAGGTCACAGGCCAGCTTTGCAGCCAAATATATTTCCGAATACATGAATTTTCCAGAACTTTAGGACAATATAGTGTATATAGTGTATACAGGGCAGCACAAACAGATTTACACTTGTTCATATGGAAAACAATATAATAATTAATAAGTAATACAAGAATAAACTGTGTTTTGTGCATTCACAACTGTGAACCTACATCTGCCTCACCCTGTATAACATTTCCACCAGGGCTTGGGGCAGCAGCCTGTTAATAAGCCATCAATATTTCTGTAGTGAAATGTATATATATTCAGAGTAAAGCAGATAAAGACAATATATTAACTTCATATCAATTCTGGTCAGATTTGCCAATTATTAGGTTGCTTTTCTTTTTTAGTATTCAGAGATTTAGGATTAAGAATTGCAAATGAGGGCATGCATCTGTATAATCTGTTTTCCTCTGGAGAAACTTGTATTAGCATTAAGCCAGCCCAATCTTTGTATCTAGAGGGAAGTGATCTAGGAAATCAACATAAGCAAATGCAAATAAACATCATAATTTAAAATATAAGTCCTCGTAATGATGAGAAGGACATGCTATAAAGTCAGGACAAAGACACTGATGAGGAATTTCTAAAAGCAGAAGGAACAGTAGAAGATTTGTAATTAACAGTTGCCTTGAGAAAATAAACAACGGTAAAGCATCAAATCATTTATTTTGTTTTCTTCACCTGATATTAGAATCATCCAGTATAATACTTCCATAGATATATGAAGAAATTGCGGACTAAGGGGTCTATTAGGTATCTCTTCTATGTTCAATAATGTTGATACTTATTATACCTCTATGTCAATGGAAAGTTACATATATAGTTGTATGATACAAACTTTGTAGTACATAAATTTATTATAAACTGTAAACAACATTAGATTAAAATGGTAGAATTCCCCATAATATTCATAAACATCATTTTATCATGAATTAGCTAATATCCCCTATACCCATCATCTCATATCACAAACTATAAATAATTACTCAAGTCATTAAGTTAATAGAGTAGTAAAATAATATACAGCAAACCAAATTAAATAAAAATTGCGCAACGGGTGATAAATAATGAAACAATTGATTTCTTACATCACAGATAATACAAATTATTTTCTTAATATCACTCAGGTAATTTATATGGATAATTATGTCAAAAGCTACTGGAGTCATAACGATTAATCTGGTATCTTCTGCCATGAGAAAGCTACCCTTTCTATCTAGGACAAAGGTGGAAAAAAAAATAAGATGTTTAATCAAAATCTACTATATGTATTAGCTGAGATTTTTTTCCTATTGACAATGCATTCTGATTGTACTGATGATTATAATACTGAACAGTAACTTATACCAACTTTCTTTTGAAGAATTTCAAGTAACAGTTATCATGGATATTACAGTAACATCCACATGTCCCTTTGAGTTAAAGATCTCACCATTTCACAGATGAAAAATAAACACACAAAGTCTGGGTTATAGCTAACTTATACTATTTTAACACTATTTAATACCTAAGTGGTGTTTTCAGTGTGCCTAGCACTATTCTAATTGCTTTACAATATTAACTCATGTCCCATGATGATTTTGTATATAGTAGATATTATAGTAGGCTCTAGTTTATAACTGATACACTAAGGCATGCAGGGGGGGTCAAAGGACTTGCCCACAGTCACATAGCTAGTAAATAGCAGAGCCAGGGTTAAAATCCATGTGGGCTGGCTCCAGAACCAGTGCTCCTAGCAGCTATCCTATATTGTCATTTCTCCGTATGAATCCCAATTTTAAAATTAATGGGTGCAACAATTATGCTCATTTTTTTCAGAAATATGAAATACAATCTAGAAAGTAGAAAAATATTATACATCTCACAAACCTAAACTTTTTAACAGGAGGGCAAAAAAAGCCAAAATGAAACTATTTTCAAGAAAAAAGTGGTTCAGTTTGAACTCAAAAAAGCATATGAAATCGCATTGGAAGAAATACTTTGCTTCCCTAAAGCAAATGCTGTGGGATATTTTAAAGCATTACAGGCAAACACAGTGGATTATTTGCCTTAATATCTCCATTAATATCTCTTGGGAGATCTCACAGTAGCTGAACATCAAAGATTATTTTTGAAATGTTCTTTTAAATGAAGTTAAATAATAAATTTGATTTTTTTAACAGAAAGAATATCTCTAGGAAGTGGATTTATAGACTATATCTAAAGAGTTTGTGTTAAAGCAGCAAAAATGTGAAAAGTTTATGGCTTTATTTTTATTCTAGTTTGCTCTTGATGTACAAAAATAGCTAACTTGTAGTCAATTCATACCAAGGAGAAATACCTCGGACTACCCTACTTGCTTCACATGCATTCCCTAACTCATCTCTGAGGCTAAGTCTGCACAACTTCACAAATCCAACGTAAAGACATAAAATGTGCATTTATCTAATTCTTGCATGTCATAGAACTGGTGAGTCCGTCATTACCAAATTATTGCTGACCACAGAGGATCTCAAATACATGAAGCATTTCAAGACTGGTAAGGAAGTAACCTTGAATACTTAAGCTACACCACCCTTCTGAGATCTTCCTGGAGTAAGGCCTGGATCCAGGATACCTCCAAAATAAACTCAGCTTCCTGGTTTGGGCAACACAAGGGTA